GAGAGAGAGAGAGAGAGAGAGAGAGAGAGAGAGAGACAAGAGACAGAGAGAGAGAGAGAGAGACAGAGAGAGAGAGAATAGGGAGTAGGAAGAGGACGAGGAGAGGGAGGATTTCAAATCAAAGAGAGCCACTGAGAGCCACAGGGCTTCATTAGGGAACAAGTCAGTCTGTGCTATGGCATGAGGTAGGAAGCAGGTGAAGGTTCATCAGGAGCACGGGCTTCCACTGCCTTTCCTTGGCATGCGCTTCCCTCTCTGCTAGCATTTGATTAGCTGTTTCCCTCTGGGGTGATGTCAGGGCCACACCCCACCCACGTTTCTGGTAGCACATTAGCTCTGCTTTAGACTTGGGTCAAGGTTCCTTTCTCATCAAACACTTCTCCGGAGCCTAGTCATGGGAGCTCTGGCCAGATCTCTGCTCCACTAGAGATCCTGCTCTATGCTCATGCTCCTCAGTCCTCCATCAACCCATTTGTGAATGGGGTTAGGTCCCTTGGTGGCTCTGGTGACCTGACACTCAGCTTGAGAAGGATGTCTATTTCCTGTTCCCCTTAGACTATAGATCCTTCCTAGGTTTCTTTCCCTAAGATAGCTTCCTTATTCTGTTCTGAGTGTCCCTTCCTTTCCCCCACCAAAGCCTTTCTGCCATCGGCAGATTGAGTCACTTTGACCCCAACCCTGCTGATCCTGTTTGTTTGTTTTGCACAGTGAGTGTCTGAGGCAGTTTTGAGTCTTCTGAGAAACTCTATTTCTTCCTTGGCAATGTTTCTTATGCCCAGGGATCTGAACTCAGTTGCAGAGAAGATAATTCTGACAGATTTTGAGGGAGCATCCCACATCCTCAGCCATCTTAGCTTTTTCTATTGTTTCTCTTCTCAGGAGATAGGTAGTTGTTTTTCTTCCAACTTCATTGTCCTGGGACTTTCTTGAGGATTTTTTTGGGAACCTTTTCTTCACCCTCTAAATCTCCTGGATCTTGCTCTCACACCTATCACTGATGTAGCGTTGCAAATTAGGTCGGCATGATAAATAACCAGGTCAGCTCAAGGATAACAATTATATTTTTAATGGTTATAATGGGAAACTCATGCTACAAGAGTGGTAGGTCTGACTTCCTTTCTGTCTGGTGGGAGCTGCGCAGAGAGAGAGCGTGCACCTGTGTCCTCCCAGTTTTTCTTCCTGGGCTCCAGGTAGCCACTCCTTAACTAGATATGATTAACAGTTTCCCCATCAGTGTAGAGACTGACTCTACACATTTCTCAGGACTTTTTATTTTCATGACTCAGGTTTTCTGATGTCAAGGTATTAGCTGTCTGTGAAAATCTATAATGCATTTGCAACATCAAAGCTTGAACTTCAGCATCTCTGATAATGCAGTGGTCTCAGTTAGTTCATAGAGAACACAAGCTTATAAATGATGCTTCTCTCTTTAGCTCAACGACAATATATCTACAACATAATTTGTTTGCTCTTTCAACAAATCCTGAGACTCAAGTTCTAGTTGTCCCCATAGAGACTTACTGCTTAGTAACATTCTTTATAATCTTCATTTTGGGGTGCTTGATTAAATTCACCTTTGCCTCTTATTCTTTTTTTTTCTATGCTTTTGTTCCCAGAGAGACTAGCATGTTCAGAAGACTTTGTCCTAAGCTCTGATCTTGAGACTCTGTGTTAAAACATGTTACAAAACATACACTCCATCTGTGATGCAGAAACAAAACGAGGTTGGTATGTATGGGCACCGGTGCCCAGGTGTGAGGGAGATAGCAGCAACAAGAGGGAGGCCAGAGACCCCAGTGAGAGGAGGGGTAATTACATTGACATTGGATAAAAATGAAGATATATTCTGCTTGAAAGGCATGAAATGCAGAAGAAAGCCATGGTCTTCAGTTGTGTGGACCCATTGTAACCCCCACAAAATGATAGTACAACGAAGGGAAGTTAAACATAGCTGCAGTCACGCTGTCCCACAGCAGGAAGGGTAGAAGCAGAAGCCACTAACAAATGTCCCTAGTGTAAGATGATGCCTTGGTGTAGAGGGGTAGAAAGCTGGGAGTGGGGCACAACCATGGCATAGGGCTCAGAAACTTGGGTCCAAACCCTGAGTGTGGAGATAGATCCAGAGGCACAGAGCATACAGCAGTCTTGGCAGTGTGAGGCTGTGTATCCAAAAGCAATAAATTTTGTGAGTCTGAAGCTTAAGGTGTGGACTAAGAGCAGACCCGGTGACCTGCATGGGACTCCACAAGCAGCATCTGGAGCTGAAGAAGTTGACCCTGTTGAGTTAATAGTGGGGCAACTTAGGATTCTCTGAAAGCTCGGAGAAAGTGACATGGATCGCATGATGAATCTGGAGCAACACTGGTTCTCGAGACAGAATCCAGCAAAACAACATGTTAGAATATTTTTATACTCTTAGTAATGTATCTGATTTTTTTCTTTCCATTTTTCTTTCCTGAGGAATATAGATTGGGCTCGTGCTATATCCATCTGAGAATTAGGAATGTAACACATCATTTGAAGGAATATTGGTGAGCCATCCTTTGCCATCAACTTCCTTACTTCATCTCCTGTGTCTTCTATGTGCATTTCTTCCTCTGTATTTCTCTATAAACCTTGTATGAGCCAATGGTTTTACCCTGGGGTTTTCCACTTTCCGCACATACTCACAGCATGTTAGTAACAGACCACTGTAAGATACTTCACTCCCTAAAACAATTGGTGCTTAAGGAGCAATTAAGTTTTATTTGAATGTGACCATATTTTAATTGTGGGGTTACCTTTTTCATTATTTCTTTTATGTTTTGAGATTGTAACTACTCAACTTCTTCCTTCCCTCCTCCCTCCAAATCCTCCCATTTACCCCTCCTTGCTCTCTTTCAAATTCATAGCCTCTTTTCCATTAATTATTGTTTCATGCATGTATGTACATGCATATGCATATATTTCTAAATGCAACCTACTCCGTTTGTATAGTTTTATTTGTATTATATTTTCATGACTGACCATTGATACTGGATAATCAGCTGGTGGGCTCTCAACCTGGATATGACTATTTGTCCCAGCATGCCTTAATTGCCTATATTTCTTTGTATATGATTGAGGACTTATAGTATTTTCCCCATCTGCTTTGGCACGTCCTTTATTGTTGACCTCGTTCAGCTCATGTTTAGGCAGACATGTTAATTAGACTTTATGGGTTTAGCTTCTGGCATTCCTCAGAGACTTTACCTTACAGCAAACTCTCTGTACTCTGGCTCTTAGAATCTTTCTGCTCCCATTTCCACAATGTTATCTGAGCCTTTTGTGCCAGATATGTTTCAAGATATACCTATTACAGAATATTTCTTTACACTGTAAAGATATGTCTGTATCTAAGGCGCCTTTTGATTGGTTTAATAAATAGCTAAATGACCAATAGCTGGTCAGGAAAAGAATAGGTGAGACTTCCAGGGAGAGAGAAAAAGAGTTAGAGGGATAATCTGGGCACGTAGAATTTTGCCAGCAGACTCAGAACAAGTTGGAAGTGCTATACTAAGAAAAGGTAACATAGCCATGTGATAGATTAATAGAAACACAGATTAATAGAAACAAGTTGATTAAGTTATAAGAGCTAGTTAGAAAAAAGAGCTTAAGCTAAGGCCAAGCTTTCATAATTAATAATAAGTCTCTGGGTCATCATTTGTGGGCTGGTGGTCCAAAGACAGTCCAACAAGAAAGTTTGGTACATATATCCACTGGGATTGGGCTCCATAACCCTATATTTTGCTTGTGATTTTTCTGCAATAGTCTTTATCTGTTGCAAAGAGTAGTCTCCTTGATGAGGGGTGAGGACTATGCTTAAGTATAAGGACACACACTTAGCTTTTGATGGTTCTTAGTGAATATAATATTTTAGAAGTAGAAGAGTAATAGATACATACTCAAGGAAAGCAACATCATATTATAGGAACTAAATTGCTCTTGAACTGTGTAAACAGCTCTGCTGAAAAAAGTAAATAAACCTTGCAAAAATAAAATACAATCCATAACCTAACTTCAGATACACAAGTTTCAATGCAAAAATCACAAGAGGATATCATGTTGTTATAATCCCTCCAAAATTGCTAATTCATAGAAATGGCCTCTATGCAGGTGAAGTAAATGAAATCCCAGACAAACAACTCAAAGTAGCAACCATAAAATGTTTAAAGAATCAGAAAGATCCTGAAAAAGTCATGAGGAAATACAAATAGAAAGTTAATACAAAATATAAAAGGGCAATTTGATGACTAGAGATATGGGTTTGTGATTAAGAAGACTTGCTGTTCTTCTAGAGAACACAAATTTGGTTCCCAGAAGCCATGTCAGGTGACTCATAACCACCAGGAAATCCAACACCCTTTTTGGGCTTCTGAGGGCATTCCTATGAGCAGAAACACAAACACACACACACACACACACACACATATATGTACACATATGCACATACACACTCCCCAAATAAATTTTAAAAACCTAAATAATTTGATAAAGAGATGGAAATACTGAAGAAAGTAAATTCTTTCTTAAAGAATTAAGAAATTCTTTCTTAATTCCTTAAAGAAAGGAATTAAGGGATAAAATGGCTACTATAAAAACGTGAGGACCTCAGTTCAGATCTTCCACCTTCAATGTACAAGCTGGGGATGATGCTGCACACCTATAATCCAAGCACTGGGGAAGAGAATAGGAGGGTGGTCAAAGCTCATTGGTTAGCTTGTCTAACCAATAGAGCTCTGGGTTCAGTGAGAGGCCTCCTTTCAAAAATAAAGTGGACAGTGATAGAGGTAGAAGCCTTCAGCTTCCGCACACATGGGACATATGTGCTTGAATGCTTATTGATATGGTATTCCCTTCTGTATGCTATGAATATGAGTTATTAACATTGGTTAATAAGTTGCTTTGGCCTATGTCAGGACAGAATATAGGCAAGTGGGAAATCTGAACAGAGATATATAGAAAGAGTAGGCAGAGTCAAAGAGATTCCATGAAGCTGCCAAAGAGAAAGACATTAGAACCTTACTGGAAAATCACAAGCCTCACGGTAAAATATAAAATAATAGGAATGGGTTCATTTAAGATGTAAGAGCTATCTAGGAATACACATAAGCCATTGGCCAAGCAGTGTTGTAATTAATATAGTTTCTATGTGATTATTTGGGCCTGGGCGACTGGGAATAAAAGAGTAGTCTCCGCCTACAAATGGCACCCACAATCTGGGGTATTGATCCACATAAGACATAAAAAAAAAAGTTTAAGGAAAAAAAAAGAACGCTTCTAGACCCACAAAAATGGGAGCCAAGAGCAGCTTCTTAGTAATCGTATTTTTTTTTTTTTCCAAACAGGCTTTCTTTGTAGGCCGCAAGGAGAGGTTTGGCTCCTTTAAGAAATGGCTTCCTGGTTTGTACTGGCAGCATGAGCTGCTCTGGATCTTTTGGGAAGTCCTTCTACAGAGCATTTAGGGTTGTGAGCAGAGTGCTACAAGTTTCTTAATGGGGCCATGGACCCATTGTGTCTCTAGAGCTAGAATGGTGAGCATGGCTCACAGAGCTGAAGGAAAACATACCTCTGCCATACTGAAAAACCAAGAGAAGTAGGGCCAGCATCCATGGCTGCTGCAACCAAGCTGCTTACCATTTGAAAAGAGCTGCTGGTCAAAAAATGATTACAGATATGCAATAAAGACAGATCCAGACAGAAATAAAGCTCTGAATGGGTCATGGTGTGCTTAAAAATATACATAGACTTGGGGAGGAGAGGAAAAAAGTGTAGACAGTTACAAAATAAATAATTTTAAAAATAAAAAATCTTTAGAGAGACAGTAACAGCAATGTAAAAGAGTACAGACAGTCATAGATTAAAGGAGTAAAGAAAAAATAAGCCATGCAGTGATGGAATATACACAGAGTCTGGATTATTGTGTTTTCTTTGAAGTTTTTGACTGCAGAGAGACATTTGATTCTGGGGACTGCTAAACTAAACCAACACACACACACACACACACACACACACACACACACACATTTATATATTAAACGTATCTTGACTTCACAATTTGGGTCTAAGGATATGTTGCTTTTGAAAAGAGGTTCTTCTTTTGTTTCCACTAAAGATGAGAACCTGTGGATTCCTTCCAGGCTCATGTGGTTTGATGGAACAAGATTCCCAAAAGGTCTCCATGAACCCTAAAAATACTTTGCCCAATGTTGAAATAAGAAGCGGTGGGGCTGCGTCCCCAACACCCCGGCCACTTGGCTAGCTCATGCCCAAAATAACAACACACAAACTGTATTCATTTAAGAACTGCTTGGCCCATGAACTCTAGCCCTTACAGGCTAATTCTCACACCTGGACTAGCCCATTTCTAATCATGTGTGTAAGCATCCCAAGGTGCGCTTACCGGGAAGATTCTAGCCTCCGTCCATGCTGTCCGGGAGCAGAGCAGAGTCTGACCTCACTTCCTCTTCCGCCCAGAATTCTATTCTGTTTCCTCCTCCCATCCATCTTTTAACCTATCAGGGCCAAGGAGTTCCTTTATTGCTTAACCAATGAAATCAACAGATTGATATATGACACTCCCACATCAGCCCAACAAACATCAGAAGGCAGTTTGGAGAAAACAACACCCAAATTCCCAAAATGATTGTTCATAAATGTTTGTTTTCATTTAAAGGGAGTTGATTAGATTATAAATTATTAATGATCACAGTCAATTTGCATTAAAAAATAAGGGGGATATGATACAGAGATGAATACTTTGTAATGGTATGGACTTTGGATTACTGACACAAATTTAAGGTTGATTTTGTTACATTATATTTATGTATTTTTTCTCTTGTTTAAAGTATTATGTTTGTGCATCTCATTTAAAATGTAATATATAATTAAAATTATGGATTAATA